TAGGTAGGTAGGTAGGATAGTCTACAAATGTCCAGATGTTTTTCAAACTGGGAAATACAAAAAAAGGCAAAAAGACTTCAAAGAAATATGGAAATAGTGAAGACATTTCAAGTTTAATGTAATTTTAAAATTTACATTAGTTGAGAACACAAATCATGTGATAAACTCTTCTATTAGAAGAATACATACATCTTCAAACTAGTCTACAAAAAAATAAATTCCTAGAGGCAAAAGATTTTGTTTTAAAGTATATATTCTAATTTCAAATGTCATATAAAATGTATTTTATTCATTTGTTTTAGACTTAAGACATAAAACGTTACATTGATTGAATTTTTATTTTAATATTATATTAATATTTTATATTATATTATATATTATATTAATTTTTTCAGCATATGATTTCGTACCATTCGATGGGTAATTTGAGGGGCTGATAGTAAAAATGGTTTAAAATAACATTGGGAGCAAAAGTGGGATAAGTGACTTGGGAGCAAAAACGGGTTAAAATGATTCGTGTAATTTATTGATAAATTCATTATATTATCGATTAAAAAATATTAATTATAATAAAATATGCATTTTTTCCTATTGTTAATATTTTTTAATCGATAATATAATGAATTTATCAATAAATTAAACGAATCATTTTAACCCGTTTTTGCTCCCAAGTCACTTATCCCACTTTTGCTCCCAATGTTATTTTAAACCATTTTTACTATCAGCCCCTCATTTGTCATTAATGAATTGTGTCACTTAGTGCAGGATTTTTTTGGTTACAGAATTATCTCACACTTTAAAATATTTCGTTTAATAAAAAACTTTAAATATTACATTAAAATAATAATTAATAAATAATTTCTCAATAAATTCTTCACTTTAACTCACTAACTACCGACTGTAGGTTCCCCTTCGTTCCCAAATTTTGTGCTTAAGAGATTTTTAGATGATGATCATGGTAATCCAAATGCAGTCCTTCAATTCTTCCATCAAAATGTTTGTCAAAATACGCTTACGAACACTTGGACTACTCTTCGTATTTTGCAGACTATACCTATGAGAGTGGCCAAAGAAGAACGTAGCTTTTGTAAATTAAAGTTAATTAAGACATACCTTACATCGACAATGCTAGATGAAGACTTATCTAATCTTGCAAAAATATTTATTGAAAATGAGATGACATAAATATTGAACTACACTGGAAACACTCAATAGCATTAGTCTTAGTCCGCCCTACAGAAAAATGTCCTTGTAGAGGAATACTATAAACACTCAGGGCCGTACAATGAATTACTAGTGCTTTTAGCAGAATACATTGTGCATATTATTATAAATATTAATGAATTTTGTTTCTATAATAAAGTATTGTAAGCTGTCGTTTTATAATTAATATTTTTTTCAAAATTTTGTTCTAATATAACTTATTTCATATGCCTTGATTTTTATATTCACAGTTTTTATTATAAAGCATTGTGAACTTAATTATCGTAAAAATAAAATAAACTATTGTATCATAATTAAATAGGAATAAATTGTTTCATAGATAAAAGAAATTCCTTCGTATAAAACGAGTGGTGGCCCTGAAAAGGGCCGTTTGTTTACAATCATGCTGTGAAAATGTCACAAGAATAACATTTTCACCATCTTACTTCTTGGCAACCTTCTTTGCCGCGGGCTTTTTTGCTTTTGGTGCAGCAGCTTTCTTCGGGGAAGCTTTTGCCTTTTTTGGAGCAGCTTTAGTGGTTTTAGGTTTGGCAGCGGTGGATTTTGCCTTTGGTGGTTTTGCCGCAACTTTCGGGGTCTTCTTCTTTTCGGCAACAGCTTTCTTGGTCTTGGCTGCCACAGCCTTCTTCGGAGATACTGCTTTCTTAGTCTTAGGAGCAGCAGCTTTGGGTTTAGCAGCAGGAGTCTTAGCCTTGGGCTTACTTTTACCTTCAGCCTTGGTGACGTTCAATTTGAAGGATCCTGCAGCTCCTTTTCCTTTAGTTTGGATCAAGGCCTTATTAGCAACTGCAGCTTTCAGGTACTTTCTGATGAAAGGCGCTTGCTTCTCGACATCGACTTTGTAGGTGGCAGCGATGTATTTCTTGATGGCTTGGAGGGAAGAGCCACCTCTTTCCTTCAAAGATGCGATGGCTGCATTAACCATCTCTGATGCTGGTGGATGACTGGCTTTAGCACGGGGCTTTTTTGCCTTCGCAGCTGCAGCCTTTTTAGGAGTTGCAACTGCAGGCGCTGCTGGTGATTCTACTTTATCGGTCATTTTGATAATGAAACTATTCGAAAAAAAGTTTTATAACTCTTGAGATACTCTCAACGCAACTGATGAAACAGAAATGAAAATTTTCCCTGACGATCCGTGACTTAGGGAATTGCACGGACGGTGAAGAAAGACCCTTACGCTCGTGCGCCGCTTGCCGTTCGAATTCTCGATAACTTGGGAACGTCATTCAAAAAATTTGTTAACTTTTAAGTGTTAACGCTTTAATAAATTGTTCTAAATATCTTTAATTTCAATTGTACGAATATTTTACTTTTTGACTAATAAAAAATATTTTTTATTTTTACATTTTTCTTAGGTAGAATTAAACATTTTTCGAAGCTCTGCTTACATTGATCGAGCGTACCAAGTTTCAAAAATTGTTAAAAATATGTTAACAAATTCCATTGTCAAAAATTTGAGTTTGCAAATTAATTCTCTATTTGTTCCCCTTTATGAATATTTAATTTGTTTATATTTTAACAATATATTAAAAGTGTTACGAGTAGTTTAATTTCAGCATGAGTTCAAATTTTTGATATGGGGAGCGCAAACGTGTAGACTGATTGTCTTGATCAATAATGAAAAAAATTTAAACATTGTTTTAGCATTGTTATATGTATAAATTTATATATTTTATACTTAATTTATCGTTTGAGGAATTTTTCTTATTAACTATGTACTTGAAAAATAAAAGAAAATTTACATGCTCCAATAAAGAGTTTATATGACTTGAACAGTTAAAAGGGACCTTAAATACAAAAAAATCAATTTTTTGATTTGTGATTCCGATAGATAAAACTTTTTAATATCAAAATCATCAATCAATAAAAAATTATTTTTTCGGACATAAGGTCCGTTTTAATTGTCTAGGTCACATATATTTATTACTTTCAGCACATATATTAATCTATAATGAATTTTAAAATGTCATTTTTTTAATCTTGAAAAAAAGGTAACAAATGAATTATTTACGGAAAATATGGAACAAAAATGTGATGAAAAACTGATAGTTAAAACTCACTTAATCAGCACGAAAACTTGCAGCAAAGTTGCAGGAAGTTTGCCGTGCAAGTAACAAAATCTCCTTTCACTTGTAAAAAGCTTGTATAATATTAAAAAAAATTTAATAAAAATTTGTTTCTAAATAAACATAAAGGGCAACCTGCTTTGGAGGTTAAAAAATTTATTGCTCAGACGTAGGAGATTCGATTCACAACTGCGCATCGTGTTAAGTTATGCAAACTTGTGCCAAATTTGCGAAGCAAGCATGCCATTGGAGGCCATTTCGTTACTTGCACCAAACTTGCTATATGTCAAAACTGCAATTTTGCACGGCAAGCTTTTTGTAAGTTTGTTGCAAGCTTTTGTGCTAACTGGGAATTAATGTGCAAAATAATTCGTTTGTACATCTATTTAAATTTTTATTAATCTAAATTTTTCATAACCGATTGATGCATTAATAGTTTAAAATGTTGGCAAATTGAAACTTCAGTAAATTAAAATTTAGATAAATTGAAATTTAATTAATTATTAAAAATTAAATCCTCTCAATACGTGACATCATTTGTGGCCGGTGCCTAAGTTGTAAATTTTATAAAATTACAGATCATTCTCATCAATTTAAAATTTTGTAAAAATGAAGAAAAATATTTTAGTTTACAAGAATTTACGCATAAAAATGTTTTTATAAAAATATATAAAATATTTTTAAACTAGACTAGATGTTTTTTGGGTTGTTGATTATGAATTTGTGGTTCAAATGAATGATTTGAAAGTTATTAAGATTGAGAATGGTACATCTGTTTGCTTCTATTTAATTATCTGAGTGCGTCACTGAGTGTCTTTTCTTTAGGTTAACTTAAGATTTGACAAAGAAAAGAATATTTTAAAGTCTATTTTATTATTGAACTAGCGCTTCCGACGACATTTGTACGTCTCTGTTGCTTCTATTCTTTGTCCATTCAATTTAATTTTCAATTTATGTTTCATAATTTATTACAATTATTTCATTAAATATTTAATAATATTGTTAAAAAATTGCAAAAAGGCATGTAATTATAGAGAAAGTTTTAAACAGAAAAATAATAATCTATTATATTTGTAAAATTTGTCTAAAAATTATAATTGTTGAATAATTTTTATTTAAAACAAATATTTACAACATATAAATACTTTGCAAGTGTATATTTATTGCAATTAAGTAAGTTATGAAAAATATATATGTGGAACAATAATTTAAGCTGATTTTTATAAACTAAATATTAATTTAGATGCTCTGGAAAGCAAAGTTCATTTTTTCTTACATTCGATTTTTTCGATCATCGAGATATTTCGATACATTTTCATGCGCTTTGCATGCATTTACTTTTTTAAGAAAGGATACGTAATGAAGTGTTACTAAGAAAAGTTTGTTTGGAATATATTCTAGTAATTCACGAATAAATGACCTTCGGTTGAATAAGCCCTATAAATCTGAAATCAATTTGTTATGTGGTTTCGAAAAAACTTGTTACCAAAAATCATTACATAAAGATTTCTTTATTTCTTATTTTTAAGATCAATCAATGGAGCAGTTAGAAACAAAATAATTTCAACGTAAAAAAATGTGTTGGCCCTGAAAAGGGCCGATTGTGTTTGGAAGGTGTTGTAAAAAATTTAAGCACGTTCTCCTCGGATACGACGAGCCAATTGGATGTCTTTTGGCATGATGGTGACTCTCTTGGCGTGGATGGCGCACAAGTTGGTGTCTTCGAAGAGACCGACGAGGTAAGCCTCGCTAGCCTCCTGGAGAGCCATCACAGCAGAGCTCTGGAAACGCAAGTCGGTCTTGAAATCTTGAGCGATCTCACGAACCAAACGTTGGAAAGGAAGTTTGCGGATGAGGAGCTCAGTGCTCTTCTGGTAACGACGGATCTCACGGAGAGCGACGGTTCCTGGCCTGTAACGATGGGGTTTTTTCACTCCACCAGTTGCAGGCGCGCTCTTTCTGGCGGCCTTGGTGGCGAGTTGTTTCCTTGGTGCCTTACCACCGGTGGATTTACGAGCGGTTTGCTTGGTACGTGCCATGACGATGCTGTAAGTTCGGAGACTAACAAAACAATGATGCACGGCGGGGAAAATGTTGTATTTATGGACTTTCGACCCTTCTGTTCAATAAGCAGCTAAAGGGAGGGGAAACTAGCAACGCGATTGGTAGACTGAAATTGTGGTGGGAGATGTGTGCCACACGATGTTATAAAATAATGCTCACTTCCCTCGAAAAGCATTCTCAGTTTGTTCTTCGTTCGAGTTTGACGTACGAACTTTATTATCTGCAAAAATGACTGGTCGCGGAAAGGGAGGTAAAGGTTTGGGAAAAGGAGGAGCAAAGCGGCATCGCAAAGTTTTGCGTGATAACATCCAAGGTATCACCAAGCCAGCCATCCGTCGTTTGGCTCGTCGTGGTGGAGTGAAACGTATCTCCGGATTGATCTACGAGGAAACTCGTGGTGTTCTCAAAGTGTTCCTTGAGAACGTGATCCGTGACGCTGTCACTTACACCGAGCACGCCAAGAGGAAGACCGTCACCGCCATGGACGTCGTCTATGCTTTGAAACGTCAAGGCCGCACCCTTTACGGTTTCGGCGGTTAAATTTTCCTGTCATCTTACAAAACAATCGGCCCTTTTCAGGGCCACCAAATTTTTTAACTTTGGAATTCTTTTGTTTAAAACATGTTTTTAAAGCAAAAAGTTAGTCTTATGTTGATAATTGATTTTAGTAGTAAAAATTTTATTGTTTCTGAAGACATTGATTTTTAGTATAACTAGCGCTAAACTACTAGTCACTGCTCTAGTAAAAATTTAGTAACTTTTAATTGTAACAATAAAATCTTAATATTGTTTGTCCTTCTCTAACTCATTATTCCAGTTACGCTTCTATTCTGCTTTGGCCTCAATTAACACGAGAAAAAAGAGAAACAAAAACCAAAATTGCTGACGAAGTAGATAAAAGTCACTAGACAGTCAATCCTAATGGAAAACAACCCAGCAGAATAGATTTTATTTTAACTAATCAAAATTTAGTCTCTTACGGCACAATAATATTTGCTGTAAGAGACTCCATTTTGATTGGTTAAAATCTATTCTACTAATTATGGTTATAATTCATAATATTTCGATTGCTGGTCATTGACCCTATAGTCTGTATATATAATGCGAAAATTGTCATCGAGTCAGTCAATTTTTTTATTTTTTACTGATAAAAAATCTTATAATATATGTTATGTTAGCATCCTTTAAAATTCATAATAAAATATTTTTGGAGTAAAACTAGTAAAGGCAGATATTGTTAAGATAGAGTCCTTGTATATTTTAAGTTATAAATTGTACTATGTATAAATGTTATTTTATTTGATAATAAAGATATTTTCAAGTCAAAAAAAAAAAAAGTCGAGTCAGTCAGTTTGACTAATCACTTCTTTTAGTATGTTTGTGATTTGTAAATATTTTATATTTTTGTTTTATTTTGTTTATTTATTTGATTTTATTTATTGATGTAATCTTAATTTATTGATTTTAATTTTGTAAAATAAATTTTATTTTTTAATTTTTTGTTTAATGTTACAATTTTGAATATAAATTTGTGTTGTATTTATTTGAATATGATTTTTATTAAAGTGATCTGATGATGGTGGCGAACCAGACCACCGAAACGTTGTCTTAAATATTTAAAAAGTGAAAGATTGTTTTTTCTTTTACCTTACATCTTCCAAAAAATCGAAAAACTAATTTTTTAAATCCTTCACGCTTTAATTCTTCTCAAATTCTTGTTTGAGTATCTCAATATACAAAACTATACTCAGATATTGTCATAAATCAAGTAAAATAGCAAAAGGAGAATATACATAATCCCAAACTTTTCTTCTCCATGAAATGTAAACTCTTCAAAGATCATAAAAAATACAACTTGAAACGATATAGAAACTTTTACCATGGTACACGAAACAAATGTTGACCAGATACGAACATGATTCACTAAACCAACGAAAGTCAAGTACTGGTCACACAAAGAATCAAATATCGGTTATGAAATACTACACGGAGAGACCGCCAGTTGGAAAAATTACTAAAAAAATTTACAAGTAGCGGAAATAAGGTTACATTGTCAAATATTGCTGTAGGAAATCGAAAATTCTACTAGCAGCATACTTAATAAAACCTGTAGACTATAGTAAAATTGTACACAAATTGGAATAGAAATTACTATAGTCTACAGTTTTATTAAGTATGCTGTATGACAAAGTAACCTTATTTCCGCTACTTGTAAATCTTTTTAGTAATTTTTCCAACCGGCGGTCTCTCCGTGTATTTTTTAAATCCTTTTTTGGTCTTTCCCAAAGAAGGATACTCAAGAATAAACCGCAATATGGTTGTCATAAAACACCAAAAACTATTTTTGACCAACAACATAAAAAAGGCTCCCTTTCTTGTTAAAGAAAAAATTGATTCCTTCGTAAAAAAATTTGTTGGCCCTGAAAAGGGCCGATTGTTTTCGGAGAGACCAAGATTGATTTACTTGGAGCTGGTGTACTTGGTGACAGCCTTGGTGCCTTCAGAGACGGCGTGCTTGGCGAGTTCACCAGGAAGAAGAAGCCTGACAGCGGTTTGAATTTCCCGGGAGGTGATGGTTGACCTCTTGTTGTAGTGGGCCAAGCGGGAAGATTCGGCAGCGATACGTTCAAAGATGTCGTTGACGAAGCTGTTCATGATGCTCATGGCCTTGCTGGAGACTCCAGTGTCGGGATGGACTTGTTTCAACACTTTGTAGATGTAGATGGCATAGCTTTCCTTCCTCTTGCGCTTCTTTTTCTTATCAGTCTTGGTGATATTTTTTTGAGCCTTGCCGGCTTTTTTCACAGCTTTTCCACTTGCTTTAGGAGGCATTTTGGATTTTCAGAGACAAACACGTGTAAACTCAATGAGAATACGGAGTGAATTGATGCTCGGCCCACAAACCGGGTTCCTTTTATGTTCTGTCGCAGTGGCTATGCTACATTGTGATTGGTTCGTGCACTCGCTGTAAACGTCTACCAGTCACAGTATTGCGGTAGGGGAATAATGGTGGGGGACCCTAATGGAAGTGCATAAATAGTCGATTTTACTGAAATTTTTGTATTAGTCATCCGACCTTTGAGTTGTTCGTTACGTTGCTACTAAACTAAATCGAAAAAATGTCCGGACGTGGAAAAGGAGGCAAAGTCAAGGGAAAGTCAAAGACTCGTTCCAACAGAGCTGGACTTCAATTCCCAGTTGGTCGTATCCATCGTCTCTTGCGCAAGGGAAACTACGCTGAGCGAGTTGGTGCTGGAGCTCCAGTCTACCTCGCAGCAGTAATGGAATACTTGGCTGCCGAAGTTTTGGAATTGGCAGGAAATGCCGCTCGTGATAACAAGAAGACCAGAATCATCCCCCGTCATCTCCAACTTGCCATCAGGAATGACGAGGAATTGAACAAACTTCTTTCTGGAGTCACCATCGCTCAGGGTGGTGTTCTTCCCAACATCCAGGCTGTTCTTTTGCCCAAGAAGACCGAAAAGAAAGCTTAAATTTCTACCCACATCCTCTCTAAAACAATCGGCCCTTTTCAGGGCCATCAAATCTTTTTTACGTGTGAATCTTGAGTTCTTTGCATTATTTTTTTCATTATAATACATACGTATTAGACGGTGGCAATATTTTTATTACATTTGGAATATGTTGGATTTTTTTGTTTTCCAAACTCAATGCCACTCTAATTAGATTATCTTAAAATGAGAATTAACTGAAGCTATGTAAAATTTTTAACGAACTTTTGAATGCCGTACTTTTATGCTCTTCGCTCATTTGTGATTTATAATTTTTTGGAATATTTCGCTAGCATTATCGTATTATTAGTATGATTGTAAGATTACATCGTATAAGCCTGTAGCAATCTTATAGTGGACTCAAATTTCCGCCCAACAGTATAGGCTTCAAAAAACAAGGTGAACAAAGCTAATATTTCAGTTTCTTTTTTTTTTGAAACTTGGTATGTAAGTATTTTTTTGGTCGCTGATTACGAACATAAAGTATGTTTTTAAAAGTGACACGCTGTGAAATAGGCCAGAATTATAAATAAATGAAATTAAACTTATACTTTTGTGAGAATTAAAATTCTTTTTGTACTTCGAAGCAAACCAAAGCGCTTCGATAGCAGTTAACTGAATCGGCAATAATAATTAAATGAATCCCACTCTAATTTTCTTAATATTGTCACGTCATAATGAGGCGAGCTGGTACCGCAGCGAAGAATACATTGGAAAATATACCTATATAAAGGGAGACCTTTTACTTCAAAGACAGTCCCAAATTATACGCACAAATCCATCGTATCGAGTGTCAAATACAGTTCCAAAATATATACATCGAAGTGTCATCATAGTTAACAAGTTAAAATATTACATATTCAGAAGTTTTCGTCAGTTACGGTCATGCCCAAAAAATATACTAGAGTCAATGCGGTAATAAAAATTTTACAACTTAGAAGATATAATCTTAGGAGACCCGGTGTTCGAAAAAGGGAAAAACTAATAGAAGAATCATAATCATTATCATGACAATAATTATCATGATCATTATCATATCATAGTAATTATCATACTAATGATGATCATGATGATTATCATACTAATGAAGATCATGGTAATTATCATACTAATGATGATCATGATGATTATCATACTAATGATTATCATAATGTTCATCATGATGACGATCAGGATGATATTCATGATAATTTTCATGACGATAATCATGATGATGATGATGATCATTAGTATGATGATCATACTGATGATCAGAATGATGATGATGATGATCATCATCAGTATAATCAGCTTTAGTATGATCATCATCAGTATAATCATCTTTAGTATGATCATCATGGTCATCATCAGTATGATCATCATCATTATGATCATCAATATGATCATCTTCAGTATGATCATCATCATCATGATCAACACTATGATCATCATCATCATCATCATCATCATCATGATCATCAGTATGATCATCATCGTGATCGTCAT